CAAGACTCAAGACTTCTTCCGCTGAGGTATGTGATTCTTTCTCCTCTGTCACGTCAGGATGAGAAGCCATTGCTTGGAAAGCCCCCTGAACCGAAAATGCAGCATGAGATTAATTCCAGACATTACTAACTTCAAACAGTAAACGAGGAACCAGGATACTTCATGGTGGCCCGTTCTGTGAATCCACCTTGGTGGGAGTGTTGGGTGGTGGGGAAAATACGCTCAGACGCACGGCCATCTTATCAGCAAGTTATGTCTCATTAAAAGGTAATTTCAAACCTTTCTCCTTTTCCCTGGTTTCCCAGCACCAACCAATCCTACATTCCTATTCTCAAAGCCCCAGGTCCTGATGCTATGGGCCTGGTTTCAGGTAAGGCAAGCCAGCCCAAAGGCTACAACTTAGCTCTTAGGGCAGACAGGACACACTGACTTCCTTCTCCTGGCCCTATGATGCCACACCCTGAGGATTCTCTGGCAGCTGGAAGGCAGGCTCACTGTCTGCTTTTTGTCCACTAGAGGCAATGCAGTGGTGGCTGTTCCATCACTAATTCATCCCAAGTCACCAGAAACTCACATGATTTATCGAGGAGGAATCCCTGGCAGTGGAAAAAAAAAAAGAAATTTCAGATTTTTTGATAAGTATCTCCTTCCGTGGGGTGAGCTGTCTTTTGGTCACAGTCTGGCTCTCTGCTCACCACCATGCATGTGCTGAAGAGCTAGGCTTGGGAACTGCAGGCAGATTAGGGCAAAAGGCTCTGGAAGGGACATTCTTCAGCAGCTGAGAAGATGAATGTAAATTCAAGTATGTTTCTTTGTCAACCCGAGTGTTGACTCAGAATGACAGAGTTTGGTTTCTTTTCTTCTGGATGCTGCAGATCGAACTTTTTTCACAGAAAATGTCCTCTGGACCCATTTTCTCTCTGAATGGCTTGGCTGGCCCATACCCCTCAAAGTAAAACCCCCAATATAACTACACACAATATGCATCTGCCATGTTGTTAAAAAACAAACAAACAACTAAAAGTGCAATAAAGTCAGTTTTCTTTCCTTGCTCAGAACAATTTGCATGTCCTGCTACTGCCTGGAAAAAGGAACTCACTTGTCAAGAAAGCTAAGAATGCCACCACAAGGGGACAGTAGACTGCAGGTTTCTCACAGCTTGCGTCCTACAGTGTAAATTCACAGGAGGGAGGGAGGAAGGAACCTGACCCTGTGGCCACCTCCGTGGAGGCTGCCCAGCCACAGAGGACAGGAAGCCATACTACAGACACACAGGCAGGTGGAGAAAGGAGATTCTTCTCCAGCCCTGGCCTGGGCCTGCCATTTTCCTCCTACCTTCTTGGCCGTACCCACCCTGGGCACCCCCTCCACACACAAAGCCTTTAGCTCACTAGCTTTTATGCTGGAGAGGCTGAGGGTGGGACGAGAACCAGGAGTAAAGAAGGGGAGGGAAGAGAGCAGTAGTCCTTGAGTTTTAGTGAATGACACCTTCACTGTAAACAATGGGAAGGAGGTCTACCAGGCAGCCCCAGGGCAAGCGGTGCAGGAGCAGCAGCTCTGGGACCTGCTCAGAGCTTAGGCAGGAGGGGTGGCCCGAGCCACAGGGCCCTGGCTGCCCGCAAAGGCTCCTTCTGGGGGCATCTTTTCTTCTTTTTGGTTTGGATCTCCACCCTCCCCCACAGAAGAGTTCCTTCCAATGAGAAATGGCAGGAGCTGTAGGTGCAATGGAGTCAGAGTCCCCAAGGCCTGAGGACTCAGAGGAGGCACTGGTCACTTGTGGCGCTGAGCATTCTTCTTCCTTTTCCTCTTAAAGAAACAGCAGCACCTGCGGCACAAGGAACATTGCAAGTCAGTGCTAGAGGACTCCAGCTTCTGGCAGACCTCTGCCTCCTTCCGCTTACTGTAGGGAGTGGGACTTCACCCTGGTACCCACCCTCAGGGCTGCCCACCATCAACGGTGCACACACTGAGAAAGCAGGCATCATCTGCCAAGAAAGCCAAATCAGCTGCTTAATTTCAATCTGCAGCTGTCCAACCTAATTATCAAAACACTGTGGGATGGGGCCAAGGATTTAGCTCAGTGGCACGGAGCCTGCCTCAAGGTCGTGAGTTCAATCCCTGGTACCAAGAAAAAAAATGCTGTGGGCTATGCCTGGCTGCAAGGCATTTCTGGAAGGAGGATGGAGAGGGCTTATTTCCCAGTCTAATACCCAACCCAGGTGCTTCATCTTTGTCTTGAACCAAGGATGGGGGTCGTCAGGGCTGCATAAGAGTAGCCTGCATCATCAGCTCCTTTATACCAAGGACAAATTACTTAATTCATCTCACTAGCCAGAGGGCAATGAGGCTAAACTAAGGTAAACACAGAAAGTTTGAAACTCTGGAAAGATCTCAAGATGGTACCAACGAGTGGACTGATTCTCTCTATCCCCATTCCTGCCCCTGCCCAATACCTGAAGTATGAAGAAGTAGCCCCAATTCACACAGGAACTGTGAACCCCACCTCCTTACACCAGAATAGCCCCCCTTTTATCCATAGGGATCAAAATCCCAGTCCAGGAGCTGATCCTTGAGAGGTTTCCAGAGCTGTGCTGCTATGCTACATGGGCTCCAGAATGGGTCCTGATTAGGGCAGAGGCCCAGGTCTCCTTCATGGCCCTCCAAGTGCTGCCTCCTAGGGAGCAGACACAGTCCGGCATCTCCCTGAGCTGGGCATCCCCTCCTCCTGCAGTCTTTGGACTTTGCTTTGGCAATCAGAGGTGGATGGTGAGGGATATGGCAAGGATGGAAAAAAGATGTTCTCTCTGGGGAAGGGATAAGTGAGAATGAGGACATAAGGGGTAGAAGGCAGAGAGGATGAGTCAAAGATGTCAGATAATGGAAGGGAATGAAGTTGGAAGTGTACCTTATACTTGCTGGACCCAGGGGAAAAAGAGCTTTTCTGAGAAAACTAACTGTAAGTTTCTTGCCTAATCTTTCTAGGTTTAAAGCCAAGAATACTCATATAGAAATAAAGAACGTTGTCACTTCCCATAACCCTAAATTCTTCACTGAAGCTAAGACTCCCATTTAGTTAAGGCCCTTTGGGATCACTACATCCAATAACCTCATTAGAGTGATGCTTCTTGGAATGGAGAAATAAACATTTAAACAGACACTGATGGGCTTTAGCCAAATCTGAATAAATAAAACTTGGAAATTTTGGAAACAGGAGTTTCTCAAGATGATCTTAAAATTTCTTTTCTAAGTATATTAATAACATTTAGAATTTATCCAAATTAATGGACTCCCATTAATGGGTATAAATACAGTTAGTAATCAAAGTGTGAAATATATCAAGCTGAATGAATGTATTCTTTTAAATAAAAATGATCAAAACTTTGGATTAAAATAGCCCTCAGTGAAAACCTTGGGGAAGAATTAAAAGGAAAAAAAACCAAAAGACTTTTTTATACAGTGATACCCTGGTACTCACTGTTAATTGGTTCCAGGAGGTATGGTACAAAATTTTCTTTCTCGTCAAAATGTGCCAAGGACCAAGCTGGATGAGTTTCAAAGCAGTCAAGTACCAAGATGTAACTGTACATATGTATTAGAAATGGACATTTTCCAAGTTCAATGTGCAGCAATCAGTATTTCAAGTGGTAAATTAAATCTCACAGGAGCACCAACGTCTCAAGTCTTACCTATTCCCTTTTAACTATGATTTTCAGAGGCTTTTTTGGGTGGTGGGTGAGGTACTATTACCAGTTAAACCCAGAACCTGCATGTACCAGGTCCTTTGCCACTGAGCTGCATCCCCAGCCCTTTTTAAGATAAGGTCTAACTTGCCCAGATTGGCCTTAAACTAGCAATCCTCCTGCTTTAGCCTCCCAAATACCTGAGATTTACAGGTATATGCCACCATGCTTGGCTTCTATTCTTATCCCTTTTGGAGGATGCTAATATGATGACTTTGTGTCTTTAAATAAAAACAGAAGTGTTCGATACATTGGTCAACATATCAGTGATACAACAGCTTGTCTTCTATGTCTTCCAAAAGCAAGCCAAACAAATTAATGTCACTTATAAGCATGTCCAACCTAATAAGCAGCTGGGCATCTTGGCATGTGTGTAATGCCAACAACTCAAGAGGCTGAGGCAGGAGGCTAACAACTTTGAGGCCCACTAAGGTAACTCAGAAAGATCCTGTCTCGAAATAAAATAAAACAGGGCTGGGTATGCAGCTGTTGTAGAGTGCTTGCCTAACACGTGCAAGGTCTTGGGTTCCAAGTCCCAGCACCACACACATGCCCCCCCAAAAAACCTCTAATGTGCTATGTTGAATCTCCAGACTGGAGGAAATTATGAACTGTGATTCACTGGAACTGCTATATACATGTATGTATGTATATGTATATCAAACTGTAAACTCTAGGATCAAACTCTGGCCCTTGTGCCTGTGAGGCAGGTGGCAGAACCACTGAGCTAAATCCCTGGCCCCAGCTATAGTTTAAATTTAGACCTGTAGGTTGATTTTTTTTTTTTTTTTGCTAGTTAATATAGTTACTGCTTCAGTAGCAGTAGAAATTATGAATAATTTCTATCCAAAAGAAAGCAACAGCCCAAGCATGGTGGTACATGCCTATAATCCCAAAAGTTGGGAGGATGAGGCAAGAGGACTGTTGCAAGTTTGAGGCCAGCCTGGGCTACACAGTGAGACTGTCTCAAAATAAATAAATAAATAAATAAATAAATAAATGAATGAATGAATGAATGAATAAATAAAATACCCCCTTCTAAAAAAGGAAAGAAAAGAAAGGAAAAAGAAAGCCCCCCCAGTTTGCTCAACTCTGCGGTGACTGCCAGTAGCAGGTCCCACCGAAATGGACTAGACCAGTGACTGACCAACTCCTGTGTCTTGGTTCCCTCTCAGCAGACTGTGACCAGATAACCATTAGTTCTTAGCATGACAGAGTCATAACTGTTCTAAGATTCCCACTCACAAGCCACACTAAGTGCTCTTAGTACAAGCCTCTGACCCAGTCCTACTTTTACATCACTCTTACCATGTCTTGGCTCTCTTCCTGCACCTTTAGCTGTGCTCCTCTTCCCTAACACATCCTTCCTTTGCTATAGTACTTGGCTCAAGTCCTGCTGTGTCTGTAAAGTCTTCCTTGACCATTCAGTGACCTCTTGGCCCACCCACCTCCCAGCCTTCTAGGAACATTTTAGGTGTCCTTGAGAATGCCTTGTCCTTTCACTTATGTCTGTCTTTTCTTTCCAGCTAGACAGTACCTGAGCTCTTTGGGTAGATTTGGTGACATGCTGGGCTTCCAAGTACAGTTTTGGGTAAGCATAGTAAGATCTTAATATTTACAGTTGGGATTGTATGACTGACACCTCACAGGAAAAATAAAGACCACGACAAAGTCAGATAAACAGACACACATGTGCAAAGTAAATTCGTCAAATGTGCTCACTGAAACCCTAAGCCACAAATCATATGTCCATAAAACTCAACTGTTAACTTTTTTTTTTTTTTATTTTGGTGGTACTGGGGATTGAACTCAGGACCTTGCATTTTTGAGGCAGGCAGAGGAACCACTGAGCTAAATCCCCGGCCCCCAACTGTTATCTTTAATACATCCCTATCCCCAGAGAAACTCTTGTAGATAATTTAGTCTGGAAATTAGAACTCAGCAATCAGTTCCGACTCAGAGAAGCAAGGTAGTCAACGTACACCAGGTTGTCCCTGGTGCAGGTGACACCCCTACCTGGGTAGGCAATGAGAGAGTTACAGCTCCAGACTGCATAGCCCAACAAGGTTAGGATCACCTGCAAAGTCACAAACAGTGTCCAGGAACACAGTCAGGCAGGGGCCCTATCTTGTAGCAAGAATGTTCCTCCTCTAGGGCCTCTCCTTCCATATTCTTTTAAAAATTTTTTTATCCACCCCCTCCATTATTCCTAAGAATGCATTCAAGGAGCTTTCCTCAGGAGAAGAAAAGACAGGCTCCAGGATCTCCATCAGGTGAGTTAGCCCTTGGCTCGCTACACTTAGAAAGAAAAAGACAATAAACAAAAAACAAACGAAACAACAGAAAAATATCCATGTCTTCCTGTAGAAGTTGTCTTTTTTGAGAGACTTACTCTACAGGTGGAAGAACTAGCTGTATCAAAAGAAAAGTCACTGATTTTTCCAAAGAACCAAGGTTAGAAACCAAGTTGCAGAATGTGAGATTACATGGCAACAACATTATCTTTCTCAAGTTGTGAAGAAACACCACTGACACCTACAGAACCAATACAGTAGCCTGGCCTTACCTCACTCAGTCCCTCTCCCTCTGATCACATCTGTGCACACTGCTTTGGGAGAAAATTCAGCTAACTAATGCGGCAATCTGGGATACTGTTATGGCAGAAGGAGGCAGTGATAAATGGGGTGGATTTGGAAGGAAAGAAGGGTTAGATTAATTCCTGGGAATAGCTGCCCCAGCCCCATCTTGCGGACCTAGTTCTCCAGTTGGGGTGGTTATGGCATAAGGAGGCAAGCAGGAGTGAGCCAATGTTCCTAAGGCATTTTGTCTGGCTTTGCCAATCCCAGCCTACTCTGGTCCGCTCCCCTTGCATGTGGACTGGAGAGAGGGACTCACCACAGGTTGAGCATTTTCAGGCAGCTACAGAGTATGTAAAGAGAAAAACACAGGAAGAGAGAAAGAGAGATATTAGTCCACAGAGATGAGATGGAAGCAACTTCCTGTGAGCCATGCAAACATGCAGTAGTGTCTGTGTTTAGTTTTTTCCTGTTGAGGTAGGGTGAGGTCTCCATGTTAACGTCGAGGGGTGAGAGGGGGATCTAAGGGGGCAGCAGAAAGAGTGAGTGGGAGCCCCCAGCACGGCCTTCCCTGGCAGCTTCCTGGAAGGACCCTGCCTGGAAGAACACAGTCAAGCATCAAGGCTGAGCCCTTCGGCTCCCACACGAGGTCTTCCATGCAATGGTGCACTTATCTCCCTGTACCCAGAGGGAAAAAGTCCCTAGCTTTCACTATGTCTGACCAAAGTAGTTAGCTCTTCCTCTAGTGAGAGAGAAGAGAGTTAAGAGACATTTTATCGCATCAGAAGATAAATCAGAGGGGAGGGAGGAGGGTCCTTTCTCTGGGTATAACTGCCTAACAAGGACCTAAATCCTCTTACTAGCTCTTGGCAGAAATGAGGTTCACATTTGTTAAATTATAATTAAAATTCAGAGATGTAAGCAAAACAATTTTTTTTGGTTTCTTCCTTCCCCTTTTCCCATTTGACATTTTCTTCCCACTTTCCAGTATCTATTATACATTGCAGTCCTTATTTCCACTTTTGGTTGCTCACACCAGAGAAACAATGCAGTATATAAACATGTGTGCCCGATTTATTTCACTGAAGAGTACAGTCTCGAGGTCCACCCATTTAGCTATAAATGTGTGAAGCTCATCATTCTTCATGGCAGAGTAGTACTCCTCTGTATAAAAAACACATCCATTCATCAGTTGATGGGCATTTGAGTTGTTTCCAAGATTTAGCTATTACAAATTGTGCCACTTTAAACATGGGTGTGCATATACTGCTGTGGCATAATATTTTTCTTTTGGGAAGATACCACAAAAAGGGGAATAGTTAGGTCAACTGGAACCTCTAGTTTTAGCTTTTTGAGAAACCACACTGATTTCCACAGTTGCCGCATGTCTACACTTTGACCAACAGTGAAGAAGCGTTGCTTTTTCTCCACAGCCTTGCCTGCATTTGTTACTGGACTATTGCTTGATAACATTCTTTCTGGAGTGAGGTGGAATCTCAGTAATGTTTTACTTTGAATCTCTCATCTGAGAAGTGCCTTCTCATTTCAGATACCCATTTTTGGATTGGGTCTTTAAATTTGAGGGATCTTTTTTTTTTTTTTTTTTTAGTTCTTTATATATTCTAGATATTAGTCCTTTGATAAATAGCTGGTAAAATTTTTCTCACACTATAGGTTGTTTTCTTCACTCTGCTAGTTGTTTCCCTACTGTGCAAAAGCTTTTTCATAAGAGGTCCCAGTTGTTGACTTGAGTGGTCTGGGTTTTGGTCACGAAGTCTTTGCTACTCCTATGTCCTCAAGTGTTCTACCTGTTCTCTCTTCCAGGAGATTTAATGTTTCCATTTTAATATTTAGATCTTTGATCCATTCTGTGCCCTAAAAAATCCAGTCAGATTAACTTTTTTTTTTTTTTTTTTTTTTTTGTACCAGGGATCAAACTCAAACTCAGGTCCTTGCACTTGCAAGGCAAGCAGTGGAACCACTGACCTAAATCCCCAGCCCACATCTTTGATCCATTTTGATTTTAGATCAGAAAATGGTGAAAGACATGGGACTAGTCTTAACCTTTGACAGAAATATAGTTTTACAAGCACTATTTGTTAAAGAGGCTATCTTTCTTCCAGTGAAGGCATTCGGTTCCTTTGTCCAATGAGTGGACATCCTTCTGTTGTTCCTGATTTTAGAGTGAAAGCTTTTAGTTTTTGTCCAATGAGTGTGATATTGGTTGTTGGTTTGTTATAGATGGCTTTTATCAAATTGAGATAAAGACCACCTATACCAATTTTCTTCAGGGTTTTTATCATGAATGAGTTGGACCTTGTCAACTGCTTTTTCTGCATCTATTGAGAGAGAGGATCATATGGTTCTCATCCTTGGCTCTGGTGATACAGTATATTACATTTATTGATTTGCATATGTCGAACCATCCTTGCATACCTGGAATGAATCCTACATGGTCATGGTGTATAACCTTTTTGATGATTTGCTGCATTCTGTTTACCAGTATCTTACTGAGGATGTTTGTATCTATGCTCATTAGAGAGACTGGCCTGCAGCTCTCTTTTTTTTTGGTGGGGTCATTCTCTGGCTTTGGAATCAGGGTAAGCTTGTTTCCAGGAATACATTGGGGAGTACTGCTTCCCATTCAATTTTATTAAAGAGTTTGAGAAGTAGCAGCACTAGTTCTTCTCTCAAGTTTCTTTAGAATTTAGCAGTGAATCTTCCAAGGTTTGGGCTTTTCATTGTTGGTAGGTTCTTAATTACATCTTCAATTTCATTGGCTAGTGTTGGTTTATTTAGAATTTTTATATCTTCTTGATTCAGTTTTGGTAATTCATATGTATCTGGGAATTTGTTCCTTTCTTATGTATTCTCCATCTTATTAGAATAGAAGTTCTTGATATAGGTATTGATGATCTGGATTTCTGCAGGGTCTGTTGTGATTTAACCCTTGTCATTCCTAATTGCATGGATTTGAGTCCTTTCTTTCCTTTTTTTGATAAGGTTGGCTAAAGGTTTGTCAATTTTATTTAACTTTTCAAAGAACCAACTCTTGATTCACTGATTTTTTTGTGTTTTTTTGTTTTTGTTATTTAGTTGCCTTTAATTTCTGCTCTGATTTTTGTAATTTCCTCCCTTGTACAAGCTTTGGGCTTGACTTGTTCTTTTTCTAGAAGCTTGAGGTTCAACATTAGGTTACTGTAGCCCACTGTGTTTTCCTGAAATGTGTATTCACTGCTATAAATTTCCTTTGTAAGACTGCATTCATTGTTTCACCTAAGTTCTGGTATGTTGTACTGTCATTACAGAGTAGTTGTAGAAACTGATTTCTTCTTTAATTTCATCTCTGACTCACTAGTTGTTCAGGAGGGTGCTATTTAGTTTCCATGTGTTTATAAAGTTCTCGTCGTTTTGTTATTGAGTTACAATTTCATTGCACTGATTTGATAATATACATGGGATAATTCCTTTGCATTTGCTGAAGCATGTTCTATAAGCTAGTATGTGGTCTATTTTGGACATCCCATGTGCAGCTGAGAAGAATGTGTGTTTTGATGTTGTGGGGTGTAATACTCTGTAGACATTTGTTCAGTTCTAGCATTTATTTCACTCTTGATTTTGTCTCATTGTCTATCTATTTGTGACAGTGGGGTATTGAGTTCCCCCATTTCAACTGTATCAGTGTTTATATGATTTTTCATCTCTGTTAATACTTGTTTTATAGAGTTGGGTGCACTGTTATTTGGTGAATATATATTTATGATTTTACCTCTTCCTCTTGGATTGTTCCCTTGGAAGAGAAAATTCTTATGGTCTTACTATAACACTTGATCTTAGTAAAAAAGATAAGAAGTGATGATCTTACTATAATAAAAATCAACCAAAAAACTACCTATCCTCACCAACCTTTAACTATATTTAACAAGGTCAACCTTCCAATTAAACTAGGGGACATATTTTGTATACAGAACAAAAGCCAAGACCCTATTATTTCCTTCCACTTTACACAGAACAAGCTGGGTGAGAAAACTAGTACCAAACATTTGAATGTGAAGATGTCTCCCCAGTATCCAAGCTAAACTGCAGTAGATTAAAAAGCGCCCCCCCCAGCCCCATACCCTGCAAACAGACTGCACGAACACATAGCATCACAGCTGAGTATAATGGGGGGAAGTTTGTTTCTCTAGCTGTGACTTCTTGCTATAAATATGATCAAGCAAATGGACACGTGGCTACTCCCAATCAGTCCCAGAGGGCCAAGAAGAATAATATATGGCAGGTACCTGGCCATTTCTTAGGCAAGATGAGTTGGTAACTCATGAAATCACTAGGGGACATGGCACACCAAATGCCATATGGTTTTGGGTGACATCTGATCAAATCCAACTACTCTCTTCTGGTTTCTATACCTTTCAGAAGGCCCAAACCTGGAGCTCATGGCCAAGAAGCACAATGGTCCTTTTTTGCTAAATGGAGAGTTTCAACTCTTCTGACCTTCTAGAGTTACATTACATTAGAACAAAGTATACCAGACTGAACTGTGTGTGTGAATGGTCCCCCATCTTACACACAGGACACAAATACCACACTCACACACACAATTAGTGTACACAATTACCAAAATGAAATGAGATGAAAGGGTCCAAAAAGTACACTTGTTTAGTGTACAATGGAAGGCTAAAGTCCATTTGATCTTGGTTTTCAAAATATACTCTAAACCCAGGATTGAACTTCTAAAAAGTAATATGTGAACATGAACTGTGAGTACGGCAGGTGTGGGAGCAAGGGTGGCTATCTCTCAAGAACATACCCTGTGTGGGCCGGGGATTTTGCTCAGTGGTTCTGCCATGTGCCTTGCAAGCGCAAGATCCTGAATTTGAACTCCAGTACCAAAAAATAAAATAAAATAAAATAAAATTTTTAAAAAAAGAACAGACCCTGTGTAGTATAGTGGTTCTCAACTTTGGCTGCCTACAGAATCACCTGAACTTTAAAACTCAAGCCACCCACCAACACATTAAACCAGCCATGTGTAGGCACTCATATATATATATATATATATATATTTAACATGCCCACGTGACTCGAAAATACAGCCATGGTTGTGAACCCACAAGGCAGGACCACCATACTGTTTACTGGGGAGAATGAACACTATTCAAATCTCCAAAGTCCCTGAGAACAAGGAGAAAGTTTTCTTACTAAAAATGGCCTCCTACTGGGTCACCTGCACAGGCTAAGAGAAAAGCACCTGGAGCTGGTGACAGATATCAAGTCATCCTCGGGTGCTTTTCATCTGCTGCGTTCCTCAAAGCCTGGATTTCCAAGGAAAAGCCCTCCTGAAGGCAAGTGAGCTTGCTGGACAGATGGGCAAGAGAGTAGGGGAGTGGGCTGGACACAACCATACCAAGTGCACCTGACAGGAAGGAGGTAGGTTTCCTCAGGCCTCTGCCTGACCTACCGAGGTTTAAGAATGCTCTGGCTATATTTAGGTTATCTGGACACTTAAGAAATCATTTATGGTGCAGTGTTACACTGTAAGTGCATTGCCTGTTTCAAAGGGTAAATTACTGGGATGTCATGAACATTCTCAAGGGTCTCCCATAGCAAGTCTCGCAGCCATTACTGACTTGTGATGTCCCTATCTCTCTCTATGTGACATCCTCTTGGAACTTAAAATCTCAGTTTAGAATGGAGAAAAAGGGAAAGAAGTAGAAATGTTGCTTTTGCAGCAGAATTGTTAATTATTTCACCTTCCACCCCATATTCTAGGAGTTTAAACACAGACCATGCAGAGAGCACCAAGGGGCTGGTGGTATGCGCAGGGCAAGACACACATGCAAGAGAAGCAGGAAGGGTGTGAGGTGATCCCCTCACCTTCTTTGGATTAAAGTTGTCCTTTTTTTCCTTCCCAAGACTCAAAGATGCAGAATGATTTTTTTTTTTTTTTTCTGATACCAGAGATTGAACTCGGGTCCTTCCACTTTGCAAGGCAGGTGGCAGAACCACTGAGCTAAGTCCCTGGCCTTGCAGAATGATTTTTTGCCTGACTTACTTAGTCTTGAGTCCAGAGTCACTTGAGAGACATAGAGGCAGGGGTGAGGGTGGGGCAAAATGGCCCCATGACCCTTGTTCCAGTATTATATATTCAGAGCTATCAGCCATTAATAAGAAATTTAATGCCATTCAGCAAGATTCATGGTTTAACAGTTTTGTCTCTGTATCTCACAGGGAGTAAGAAGTTCCACGGCTTCAAGAGGCTCATGGCTACTATTCACTGTAGCGCTTATAATTCTTTCAGTTTCTTATGCCTTTTGTCTGGTGTGGACTAGCAAAATGAGACCATCTTTCCAGAAATTAAGTTAAAGACGGGCAGCAGCAGCTGTAAAGTACCATGCAAAAAACAAAACAGTCAAAGGAACAAGCTGTGCACACAAGCGTAATGATGCTGAGTCTGAGATGAGCAGCACACAGAGAATAGACAGAAAAGACTTTACGGCACATGACCCAAGAGCTCCCTTGAAAGATGAACGTACTTAGTTTCCTCCACTACCTCCACCTCGGTATGAGCAGTGATTGGTGCATTGGAGTGGGCTCCAGTCGGGTCGTCAACATTCAGCTCACCATTGGTTGAGCTAACCACCTGAAACAGAAGAACAGACTGTGACAAGCGCCAAGGTGACACAAGCATCCCGTGGGCACACGGGCAGGTCACTAAGGGAGCTCTCTAGCTTAGGAATGGCCAGGCAGGACTTGGGATGTTTGTCTTCCTGGGTTAAGAGATCAACTGTCCTAATTTAGGGAAACTTCCCAGATTCTTACCATGTGAGAACACTAAATTCAAAGGTATAATCACAAAATGACAATTCTATCTTCCATATTGAGTGAATGCTTTATGTCAGGCATTCAGCTACATTGTATGTGCGTGTAAGAATTTAATCCTCACAAAAACCCTATGAGTTACTTTTTTTTTATGGATGGAAATGCTAAGAAATAACTCAAGCAAGGGCTATATGGTCTCTGGACTTCCAGGAGGGAAACTCTGCTTAAGGATAAATTTTTTTCTATGTTGCAAAAATGCACTCAGGGGCCAGAAATTTAAGCTCAGTAGCACTGTGCCTGCATCACAAGTGCAAGGTCCCGAGTGTGATCCCCAGTACCAAAAAAAAAAAAAAAAAAAAA